GCGATTTTTAAATTGAAATTATTTTCTTTCATATTAGGCAACTTCGTTGAGGTAAAAATATTTACATAGGTTCTTTATGGGATGGCAATGCTCTGCGTCTAAAACATTTTTGAAGATGCGTTATCAAGCAGCAAGTAGTGATGTAAATCGTTACGTCATCACCAGATCTCTTCCATATTTCATTTTATGAGTACGATGGAGACCAAAATCGCTATATTAGATATCACGATGAACACAAAGGAATTTTCTTTAATAAAGCTGCCTTCTGAAGATGTGACATACCCTTAGAAATGTTTTTAGATAGGCTGTGATTATGTGTAATGTTGTATTTTAGCGTCCTGTTGCACTGATTTTCGTCCTTGATATGTATGCCGTGTTCGTCTTGTAGTGCACTCAATTTCACCTGTTATTTCACAACATATTTCGGCAACATAGTGCCATCATCAGGTGCTCTATTTACGTTAATCTATTGCATTGCTTGCCATTATGTCATTGTAAAATTATTTAAAAATATTCGTCAATTATAATAAATTTTTATACACTAAAATCTTGTTAAGATTTATTATAACTGACGAATATTTTTAAATAATTTTACAATGACATAATGGCAAGCAATGCAATAGATTAACGTAAATAGAGCACCTGATGATGGCACTATGTTGCCGAAATATGTTGTGAAATAACAGGTGAAATTGAGTGCACTACAAGACGAACACGGCATACATATCAAGGACGAAAATCAGTGCAACAGGACGCTAAAATACAACATTACACATAATCACAGCCTATCTAAAAACATTTCTAAGGGTATGTCACATCTTCAGAAGGCAGCTTTATTAAAGAAAATTCCTTTGTGTTCATCGTGATATCTAATATAGCGATTTTGGTCTCCATCGTACTCATAAAATGAAATATGGAAGAGATCTGGTGATGACGTAACGATTTACATCACTACTTGCTGCTTGATAACGCATCTTCAAAAATGTTTTAGACGCAGAGCATTGCCATCCCATAAAGAACCTATGTAAATATTTTTACCTCAACGAAGTTGCCTAATATGAAAGAAAATAATTTCAATTTAAAAATCGCAACAGCATAGATGACTGACAGAAAGCCCTGCACATGAAGTTAGATACAGAAGTTCTCGCAAGATTATGGCCACGAAATTGCACATAAGCAGGCGAGCATAAACACACACACGCATATACACGGAGGAAACGTTTAATTTTAAAGCATCATCCGATATAAGGACCCGTTTGTCCGTTATTATGACCCCCTTTGTAACTCATATGACTTGAGGTAAAAGTAGACGCGGTAGCGTACTTGGTTGAGGCACTACGCTACAAGCCGGAAGGTCACGGGATCGAATCACGATGAGGTGGATTTTTTTTTCAATTTACATAATCCTTTCAGTCGCATTATGGTCCTCGGGTCGACACAGCCTCTAACAGAAATGAGTATCAGGAATATTCTTTGGGGTAAAAGGGCGGCCGACACGTAAGGCTGACAACCTTACCTGCATCTATTAGCCGATTGTCTAGAAAATGTGGGAACCTCAACATCTCACAACCCTATGGGCTTCCACGGCCTGTTACAGGGATGCCTTTACTTCTTTACTTTTTATGCAGCGAAGTTTCTGTGAGGCAACGACTGAATTTGCAAATATTACTTAAATGAACTTCAGGCTTCAGGTGCTACCGAAGAGTAATAAGTGTACTTTCTGTATTTTAAATAATATCAAGACACGTTATCTCATGAGTAAATTGGACGTAAAAACAAACTTGGATTTTAATTTTGTCAGAATCTTCTTAAAACAGGACAGGCCTACTTTTGTAATTCTCGTACTTAATGACAATTTAATCACCATGCCCTGATACAGGGCAAAAGCGATATTCACTGCGACTGTAGTCTCCATCCACAGTCAAGGTGTCCAACACTTTTTTTCTTTACTGGGGTGGGACTAAGTCCACTTGGTACTGCGGCCACTTCTGGCCTATTGTACCAGCCCCAAATGATAGACGAGGGTGACTGAGGAGCAATTAGTGGAATGAAGATTGGCAGGGGAGACCGAAGTACCAGGAGAAAACCTGCCCCAGCGCCACTTTGTCCACCACAAATGCCACACGAACAAACACGGGAACGAACCCGGGATGCCGCGGTGGGAAGCCAGCGGCTAACCGCTTGAGCTATGGTGCGGCCACTGTCCAACACATACAGCCGCGGCAATACAATCTTAACACACTCTAATTCAGAATAAAACATGAACGCTTAAATCTCTTACAATTGAAAGCGTGACTTATATCTTCCCCCCCCCTTTCCTCTATGTTGGTATAATTTTCAACGTCACAGCAACATCAAAAGCAACATCAGTATATTGTCAACTGGAAGTTATGTATTATTACAATAAAATCAGAGATATATTAGAAACAAATAAGAACAATGCAATGAAGTTCTCTAATATAGAACAAAACGAAGCGGTCAGAGAATGTTACAAAGTTGTGTCCATCCATTTCAATTATAACGCTCCGTCAGCTATTCCCTAACCGGCTTAGATTGATGAGTTTACTAAGCACGGGTCTCCTGTACTCTTGTGCTTTATTTCTTCCTTTCATGTTATTCGTTTTGCTCCGTTTCAAATGCTTCAAGAGAACGGAATCAAGAGACAATAAACATCAGGGTAACATAATGCTTCCCTTCTCTTAATAGCACAATGGTGAATATATATATACGACTTGCTCCACCATTAGAAAATTTCTACATTTTCCCAACAGAGTTTATTTACGGACTGTGGTAGCGTTCTCAGAATACACACAGATTATTTTTTAATAGACACTGGCCAATTTAAGGAGATGCAATCTTAAATATTATGTGGATGATTTTCATGCTTCGAGGGTTCAACTGGACGGATGGATTATAGGCGTTTCAATGACAGGCATAAACTGCAGCCATTATTCGGCGTCGAGTAACAGAAGATGATTGCATCCAATGAGCTAGAAAGGACTTGTTGAGGATGCGCCCGTAGTCTAATTCAAGGTATTATGACGACATTTGCCTCGACGAAATGAATAAATCCAGAGTATTCGGTGTCCTGGCAGACGTTCGAATTGAATACCTCACAATAAAAGTCGGGAACGCCAACGATATACCAATCAGTATCGGGAACAAAACCTTACATGGTACCTTGTACGTATAATATGTAACAGGTTCAGTGTCCTACTTTTATAGGAATACTTTCTTTTTAAGTGATTTCCAATGTTATATATCCAACACGTGAAGTTGTCCCTGTGTTTAACTAATTAAGCACTACGCAGTGAAGGCGTCTATGGAAGGGGATGTATAGATCCACGTTTTCTTGACCTTGACACTAATACGAGAAAAGTGGTCAGATTCATGACCCTGCCGCTCCACCTGGGGGAAAAGGGCCCCCCGTACCCATTAGATAGAAGGCTGGGTGGGTCCCACAGACGGTCTGGACGACGTGAAGAGAAAATTCCTCGCTACCTAGACTCGAACTCCGAA